AGTCTGCTCCTAACCTTCCCTTTTCAAATTCCAGATCTTTCTTTTTTTTCACCCTCCCTCCACCAGAAGTCTAATTCATCGCTCTTCTTGTCAGTGACTGTGAAACATGTATGATCCTGTGGGTACTTATCTATTCTTCAGCTATTAGACTCCTTTTCTACTGACAGTCATTTTTCATTTCTACACCTTGTTCTTTTTCCTCACTTCTCTTCTCATTTGATTTTTCCTCCCTCTGACTCTGTCTATAGTCTTTTTTTACCCAGTATGCAGTTGGCCATGGTTAATGTGTTGGACACCTTCTTACATATCATAATTATTTTTTATGTTCTGTCCATCTTTTTCATGTTTTTCCCATTCTTTACTCTTCCTTTCAACTTAGTGTTGGCCCCTTTTGTATTAATTGGTATCATAAAGGCCTTCACACACCATATTTATGGCTCAGAGCTGGTGTTCCTTTTCTTGGACTATTTACTTCTGTTGGTTCATTCTCGGATGGTTTCCTCTTCTCCCACCACCCTTCTTTTACAAATGACTACTAGGTTGAGAGAGAGAGATTTACCCAGGGACTTAAGTCCTTTCTCATGCCCACTCTATGTTTGGTACTTTTGGGCATTTTCTTCATCTCTTGTCTCAACCAAGTTCAGCCTTATCCTCTTTGCCTGTGAGCTATGACATATTTGATCACCAGGTTTTATGCTTTTCATTCCTTTCCTGTGCAAGAGGTCCATTTACTTTTGGAGACTCTGGCTTTCTTGGAACTGTTCATTTCTTTGAGGCAGGCACTCGTGTGTCTCCTACAGTGGACCTTCCAGACACGGGTTTTTCTCTTTCTGGGTCCATTTTCTTCCTTTGAGAACCTCTCCTTGAGAAATTGTCAAGGTAATTGGATCATATACATTCTACTTTCAGCATTCCCTTATCACCTCTAAAACTTGATCTATTCTTTTATCAGTGGTCCTCTCTCTTATTGAGGAACATCTCTAGATAAGTGCAAGACTTCCAATGTTTGGACACTGTACAAGCGTTCACTCAACACCAACGTGCTCAACCTTCTTACCATTCCTGCTCCTACTGATTGATCACTTAGTCATGTTCTACTCAGTCAATTATATGGTTGTTTTTTGCACCATCCATCTGAGAAGCACCCATTTCAGGACTTTTTGCTTTCAGGTGTTAGAGATACACTTCTGGACCCGTACACATCAGGCTCGTCTTATTGCCTGTCATCTTGGTGGGGAGCTACCTCTCTTGCCCAGTCTGCATTCTATCAACACCCTAGGTGTTTTATTGGATTTATTCTTGGTTTTAACAGGAGGCAAGGCCTAGATGAGAAAATTGACAAACACAGCTGAATGTTGAAGAATAAGGGAACAAGAGAGAGAGGAAGCCCACAGTTGAAAAGGGAGGCAAATGCATCCATGAGGGGCCCTTTCTATATGTCTATTTTAGCTGACTGTTCAACCTTTACTAGTTGTCAGGAGGCCTTGTTCATGACATTTCACCTTTCTCAATACCACAAGGTGTTTCTTTTTCTATCCTCTCCACTCTCTTTTCCTCTTTCATTCTCCTATGCCCTCCTTGCCCGACTGAGACCTCAATGGAGTTTTGCACAATCTCACGCGTGGACTTCTTGCTCTTTGTATTATCTTTCTCTTCTTTTTCTCACATGTGATTACTGTAGTTCAAATGTCTATACTATAGATGCTTCTCATGCCCTCTTCCACTGTACTTATATACTCCTCTCTCCAGACCAAATTTTCCTTTCTAAGACCCCGACTGCCCGGGAGAGTAACCATACTTCTCCCCTGTCTTTGTTCCTTTTGTCTCTCATCTATTTGACTGTTCAGACCCAGATTGGCTCTTGTGTTGTATTTGGACTGTTCAGGGTGCCTTATCATGGACTTCTCTGCTTTTGTCTGTCCCTAACTTGGGACACCTCTTTTTCTAAGGACCTCTCTCCTTCTTTTTACTGGATATGTCCACCAACAATTCCAGTTGGCATGTTCATATTGGAAGGTGGATGTATGCATACTATTTCACATTCAATTTGTCTCCTTTCTCATTCTCTTGCATCTCTTCTTCACCAACCCAAGGATGAATTCCTCTAGGCAGCTATTTGGACGACTCTCCACACATTCGTCTCCTACTATACATCTTCTGGTTTTCTCCTGATGGTTTTCGGCTTCCACTGGTTGACATTGTTCAATTACCCCACTGTCTTTGAGAAGAATACATATTTCTTTAATTTCATAGGATTCCACCAGGTGGTGGTTGGTGTTGCCTTTCCATGTTATACTTACCCAAACATTGCAGCGAGTCAGGATAATAGAAAGTGCTTGTACCATATACCCTGGCTCTACCAGTGCCCTCTGTCAGATGAGATGTTTTGAAAGACCACTTGAAGTATCCTTGTGGTATATGTATTTACTCAATCGTCTGAGCCAGACTGCACATATTCCATGGACTATCATGGAAAAAGCCAGCACTAATGAATGTTCTGCCCACTTTGGCTTGTACTTGCTGGCTTTTAAAAATAGGGTTTTGTGGTCATCCATTGCACTGTCTCCAGTAAAATACATTTCCTGCTGGAGGTGTTTGGGATCCAAGCACTTCTCTGGGTCTCCCCAATATATATTCTCCACCCCATCATTGAGTGCAATGTGGGAGATCCTTTCCATTTACTAATGGGGGAATTGGACAATGGAGAATCCTCATCGGTTGGGCTTAGAACAATACACTGAGAAGTGTGGCAGTGGTGATACTGTCAGTGTAGTGCAAGTCACCCTCAAAACCATAACTTGTACTACTTGTGCCCTCTTGCAGCCTGAGCCTTTTCAGTTGAGGTGAGCACACCATGTTATATATCTGATGTGTCCTCTTTTTGCAGCCAATATCTATACAGCAAAGTTGAATTTAGCACACACTATACAAAACCATACTGCCTAACTAAAGTTCCTTCCTCCTGCAGCTGAATTCTGTTTCATAGAGACTGTTCAGTAGAGTTGAGGTAAACACACACTGTACGAAACCATAATACATGTCAGCCCAGCATGGCCAGGTGGTTAGGGTGCTCAACTCGCAATCTGAGGGTCACGGGTTTGAATCCCCCATCACACCAAACATGCTCACCTTTTCAGCCGTGGGAGCATTATATTGTGATGGTCAATCCCACTATTTGTTGGTAAAAGAGTAGCCCAAGAGTTGGCAGTGGATGGTGATGACTTGCTGCCTTCTCTCTAGTCTTACACGACTAAATTATGGACAGCTAATGCATATAGCCCTCGTGTATCTTTGCACGAAATTCAAAACAAACCAAACCAATAATACATGTCTGATGTGCTCTCCTTCTGCAACTGGAATCTGTTCAGTGTAGTTGAGGTGAGAAAACAAGGTATGGTCTGAACACTCCCAAATCACACTACAGTAACTCTCCTATTTACATTGATCCAATATAAGGTTAGTACAAAATTAGGAACAATATCCAAAATAAGTTGGTTAAATCCAGTTTAACTTGGCTTCACTCACACGTTGTCTGTCCAATCAGCCAATATCAAGTAATATTCATTGGGATTATTTTTGTGCCAAACTTTCCGAAAACCCTTAAACATAAATGTTTTGTATTGATTTATTTATTTTCTATGTCTTTGTGTTTGTGTTAGATTAAGTTTGGGTGTCCTCCAATTAGTCTCCAGGAAAGCACCCTCTCTTTATGACACTAAGTCAATGGAAAAACAGCAGCCGATTTACATCGATCCGCCTAATGTTGTATTTTCGAGGAATATATGCACGACATAAATGGGAGAGTTACTGTACATATATTGGCTCACCAACTACTTGTATATTAGTGCTTGGACAGTCATGTTCTCATTGTGCCTGTCCCTGCAACACATGGGGTTTATTTGCCTCTTCTCGCCTACATTCCAGATGAAGAGTATACACTGATCAAGATGAGAGGCAATCTCCCATGGATGTGTCCCTATGGAGCCCTTGCCTTCAGTTGTCACATTCCTTCAAGCACTTTCTGAAGGGAGTTCATCTATGTAAAATATTACACTGGTCCCTCCACAAATTGAACATGGGATTCTAGCTGAACTGTGGGAAGAGGTGAGTTATCACCTCAGAAGTTAACATTTGCCAAGTCTGAAAATATATTTCCGATGGATACCTCTGTATATTTTCCCACATTTTTGTCTTGGCTCATCAAAGATTGAAGTTATCACAAATGCAACAACTGCATAAGGGAAGTTACTGCACATGGAGATTATGTCACCCTCCTATTGATGGAGGGCTTTTGCTGTATGATGACATCATAATGTACCAGTGCAGTTCACGTTAAAACTTGTGAAATTAGCTGGAAATTGCCTCAAGGTTAGTGACATACAAACCTCTTAGGCAGACACACGGGGAAGATAGCTGTACTGTGTTAAGATGTGAGTATCTATCAGAAACATTTTTGGGTTAGGTAAGTGTTAATGTTAGAAAGAATGGGAGCATAGTTTTTATGTATGAATACAAAGTAATGTGACTGGGACTTGCATAGCCTTATAATATTTAAACATCTCCTTATACTAAGGAAATGGCTAGAACATAATAATGCAATTCACACAAGTTTAGGATTTATGTTGTTATGGAAACTGTAGGCTGTGCCTTACGTTTCTGTTGAAAATACAGTGTTATATTTCACTGCAATCTTTTTTAACATATTTTCATCTTGTCACTTGAAGCTGTTGTGAAACTAATTATTTCTTCAATGTGTTGTTATAGCCAATATATGAGTGTTTGGTGGAAGGCTGTGTGTTGAAGTTTATGGAGTCTCAAGCAAGGAAAGAACATTTGATAAAAGAACACAAATACCCTGCGGATTTTAGATTCAGCACCTTTAAACAGAAGATAACAAAGAGGTATAAAGATGTCATTTTTGATAAAAAGAAAACCTGGTGTAAAGTAAAAAAATCAGAACTGTTAATGATTTATTCCATCAGTTTACTTATGTTTTATATTTATTAATTTTATGAGTGTGATTATTCTTTAAAAAGAAAAAAATATTAAAAATTGGCAGTGGACCCACACATAAAATTTTCTTCTTGAAACAATGTAAATACTGTAACTACCACTTCAAAACAGAAATTCATTTCATCTGGCTCTCATAGAAACAGCCCTTTTAATATTTATTATAAAAATCTATAAATTAAAAATAATAGTATCATAAAATCATACACATCAATTCAAATAATGTACAAAATCAAGATAATTATATAAATATATATATATATATATATGTAGTTTTCTGTTTATTAAAAGGAACTTTGAAATGATTCTTATGAGCCCTAAGTTTTCTTATTTAAGCCCTATGTTATAGATAGGCTAATTTTTGGTTTTTGTTGGACATCTCCTGAAGCACGTTTTATTTAATGTCTTAACAAAAATGTATTGATGCTCTCTCACATATTTCATATTAGAACTAAGTTTTAGAAGTAACAAAACTTAACCCTTTGGTACCTAGTAGGGTGATCCTGTTGCCTGAGGGCAAAATTACATCATTAAAGAAAATATCTATTGAAAATAAATATGCTGTTCTTCTTCTAAGCATCTTTTTAAACTTTTAAAATGTGAATTTTATTCAGTAAAAAAAGGTTTTATACACTTAATTTATTCATACAAATTTTTATTTGGGGTTGATTTCAGCACACTGGATTAAAACATTAGTGTTTATGAATTTCCTGAATTTTTGGCATTGATAGTCACATAGGAGGATAGTCAAAATAATGCAAATTTGAATCTTGTAACTTCAATGCAATTGTCAATTATCGATTTTAGACAATCATATGTTTTCCACCTTGATTGTCATGATGTTATGTATTTTGCTAATAACACAGCTTTGAGAAGTCATAGGCTAGTTATCTAAACACTTAATGAAAGCAATATTTATGTTATTTTCAACTTTATAAACTAATGTGACTTCCAGTTCAGGGAAGACTTGCATAAAGATTATAAAAAACTGATAAAAGCTTAGCTTGGTGTTATGTTGCTAAAAGAATCTGTATTTCTTAATAACTTCCACTTCAACTACTGTCCTGATTTTCTTTTAATGATTACAAAAAGCTTAAATGCTTGATCATTTTATATTTCATTTGAATTATGATATTGCAGTATGCAGGAAAGGAAGTGTTTCTTGTGGAACAAGATCAGGTTGAGAATTGTTAGGCTTAGTTAGATCATTTTCAGTTTCAATTTACTGACATGACTGCTGTTTTTTAGCCTGTGTTTACATTTAGCATTTTTGGTCAAAGTAACCTCTTGAATAAGTTGGCACTATTATACATTTAAACATATACCAATACTTATTAACTGCTAATACATATAAGTATAATATATAAAATATACCAAACCATTAGGAAACTATTATTTAGAATGTGAGTTACTATTATAATTTAGTTATAAGGAATACAAGTTAAAAGTACTTATGTCTATACATTTAGAATGTTTTTGAAAGTGTGCTATTATCTCAAAAGAGAGTTCAGATTTTGTCATTTTTTGAAAGTGTGACTAGGAAGTATGTTACAAATATGTGTTAAATGAACTGCAGCTCCCACAACAATGTTTGTCACTTGAATTTTAATCTACATGGGGTTCCACATGTACATTTAAATTATTACATTTTGTAATTCTGTCTATAGGTACAATAATGTTCATTAGGCCTGACAACAAAAGTTTAGTGTTCAAGATACCGGCATAAGATGTGACTTCAAAACTGCTTCACTTGGCAACCCGTGTACCATACAGTGCTCTACTTTATCCATGAATCTTATTTGTTGAGTTACAAAATGAAGTATTATAGGCAATCATGGTAGAAGAAATCCAAACTGATATAACTATGTTTTATATATTGTTCCCTAAAATGTGTCAAAGCCACTTATAGAAAACAAAAATCAAATCAAATCATTGTTATTTATTTATTTAGCACATAGCTACATAATTCTTTGTTTATCATGTAGAATCAAAATCTTGATTGTAGTGGTGTAAATCTGTAAACTCACTGCTGACCCACTGGGAGGACAACATATCTAAATACCAAAAAATAATTTTAGTAGCTTAACTATACGAATAGTGCTGTGCATTGTTTTTAAATTCACATTGTTATATAATGAAGTAGTTTCATTAAAGTTCATTACATTGTTTTGAGTTTGATAAATATTTTTTTAATCATTTCATATAGAATTGTTGAAACTTAAAAACGTAATTAAATCTTAAAGTTTGGTTTTACATTTAAGCTAAGTATTGCACACGTACATTTAGTTGAATTGTTTACATGTATAGTTTTAATTATACTTCAAAAATTTGTCAGTGTTCAGGGGAAAAATTCACATAAAAGAATAAGTTTAATTATCAAGCATTTCACGAAACCATTCGTGATAAAACCTACATACAAGTGTAAGTTTAATTACTCAAGCACCTCGTCAGTGACTTTTAAATAAGAACCAACAATATGTATCATTATAGCAATACTCAAGATGCCATGGAAACTGATGAGGTATGTCACAAAGTAAAAGATATACATAATAGAAATAAATCAAGCAAAGTGAATAAACCAGGAGTTGAAGAACCAAATAAACTTCAGATCAGGTGAGAATTGTTCTATAATTAATAAAAGTTTTTGGCTGGTTAATTTAGGTATTTATTAAAGTGATTATGTAATATCTCTTGTAGAGCTAGAAATAACCTGAGAAAAATTTTGAATACTTTAAGGTTACTAATTTCAACAATACATTTCTTGCACATGCATCATTTTCTTATTCCTGTCATGTTAAGCTTTTTTCAAATGAATTACTCAGAATTTACATGACTAAGGTATAATTTTATGATTTTCTGTTATGACATATTTAACTTTTAATGAGCTCAGCTACTCAGCACCAGCTTTTTCTATAAACTATTCCATACCATTACATAACTAACATAGTTCATAGTCTAAGTGATATTGTACTGTCCTTAAGTTATTTCAGTTAAGTACATTTACTCTGGTTTACCTTAATATTAGTACAGAATTAAACTTTCTTACCATTAGCTGCTACAATATTATCATGATAATGATATTGTTTACTATAATATTACATGGTCATTATTATTGTTTTTTTACTCATGACATATTTTTGTAATTCCAATTAGGAGTAGTCTCTATGTGTGTGTAAACAATAAATTTAATATTTTAGGTGAATTCAATAAGCAAAAAAATGAAAAGGAGAAAGTCTGATACACCATTTTATGCATAAAGATGACTGTTGTTTGTAATCGAAATGTTATTTTTAAAAAAGTGGTACATTTAATTTTTATTTAGCATATAAAGAGTTAATGTAACAGAGAGACAGTTATATTGTGGTTTAGGAACACTAACCTGACAAAAATATTGTTGCGTCATCGAGGTCACGTGACTGGTGTGGCGCCCTCTATTTTCTAGAATTATCTTGTTCTTTCATGAATGCTCTAGTATTTACTAGATAGGGTAGGTGGGTATATATAAGAGGGGACAACGTGATGCGAGGAGGTAATGTAATGTGTGTGTAGACAGTGAGTAATTGATCTGCAGTCAGAAGTATTATTGAGCACATTCATTGTTATAACGTTTGTTTAGCGCGATTGTTGAGGTTGAGTGTATCGGTAAGGTTATATTCGGAAAGAATAAACCAGTTTTATTAAGTAAAGACTTGTGTCGTTAAAGTTTCGTTGGAGTGAAGTTACGGAAAGTTAATTAACAAATGGAGACGTAACAATATATTGAATAGATGTGCTACATACTTGAGTAAGGAAGCACATTATGCTAATATGATAATAGGTAGGCAAGCAATGACTTGTAAGTATAAAGAAGAATTTTATTGATGATAGAAAATACTCTACATTTCAACAGAACATTAGTTCATCATCAATAAAATTGTTCCTTATGTGTTTTTACATTCTCAGCTTAGAATTTTTTCTCTTCTGTAGTTTGGAATGGGTTGCCTTAATATATGGTGGATTCACTAAATGTAAGAAAGTTTAAGGAAAGACTCAATAAGTAAATAAGTATATGAATGAGAAGAGCTGGCTTTAACTTGTTTGTTTTTAAAGTTTAGTTTAGTTGATAGAATAGTCTAGGTAGACCAACATTTTCTTCCTTGTCCTTCATTTTCAAGTATTATGTATTCATGTACTGCCTCACAATCTTTCAGAACTCAAACCAAAACATAATAAATTAGCTGTTGTGAAACTCAAGTCCTTAGATCAGAAGGAACTTCTCAAGCTGTATTGCAGGAAGTTGTAGTTTGGATAGTTTCTAATGTATGTAATATCAGTATTTATAAAAATCATTTGTTAATGACAACTCGGGCAGACTTCAAGGTTATCTTTTCTAAAATGATTTTTTTCTGATAGTGTAAACTTAATAATTTAATTTTGAAAGTAGTGTGTGTTCAGCTTTGAAAATATTGATAATTTTTGATACAAGAACTACTAGGCTTGTCCAAAATGCTAACAAAACTGACTGTTCTCTACTAGTGAAATTGGAAACAATAAATTAATCTAATGGATAATTATATAAGTTTTTATATTAAATATAATCACATATTTGGCAAGATTTCTTGCAATGTATGCTTGTATGAATGAAATAAGAGATCACACAGAAATCTCATTTGTGATTATTGCCATACACATCAATTTATGGTATGCATCTATCACTTAATTATAGGCACCTCACCATAAACTGTCATAGAACTGTGAGTTGCATATTCATTTATTTGTTGTTTTTCAATAGATTGATTTTGATTTCCTATATAGAGTTCCAAAAACAATATGTTTTGGTTATGGAAGCCCAAGAGGGTTCCACCGTGGGGCACCACAGTATCGAGGTAAAGGAAAGACTAAACACTGGCACCAGACTTCTGAAACTGGAAAAAGTATAACTAATGTAGAGGATATTAGTATGCAAGATTTAGAAAAAGCCTTAGATGATGGGAGAAAGTAAACATTTAGTATGCAGTCAGATAACTACATGTGTATGCTTACATAACCAGTTCTTTTAAGGTTATAGCTAAATTGTATAAGAATAGCAGTTCAAAAGCATATCCCTCAAGTTATTTTGTGATAAGCCTAATATGAGACTGAATTGTATGTACGAGATAACTCCATATGTCAAGGTAATTGCTTTGGATGGTGTGACATAGGTGATAATTCAGTATCCTTTCAAAACCTGTATAATTTCATGCTGTTTTTTTTTCTTTTTTAATTGAGCATTGATTAGGCATATTTCATTCTATTCTATCATAACTCTGTAAAAAAAAGTCACAAGAAAGACTTATTGCTGTCAACTTTGTTTATGAATCATTAAATATTTGTAACTTTGCTTCATGTTTTGATGTTAGATATGCTTCAAAGTTTAATTAATGATATAGTATTTAATTATTTATGTATTCTGGTCTTATGCTGATTACAATAAAAAGAAATTGAGCCATTGAGCAGTAGTAAGCGACAATTATTTTTTCGTTCATATGAAATGTAATCTTATTAGATCCTATCCTTTATACGATATTTTTTATAACCAGAGTATACCTTAACAAACATTGTTCTTACATTATCACCAATAAAAATTTAGTTAGGTTATAATGCACTCATATACATTTTATTTTATAAGTAATTTAATTTTACTTCATAAAAAAAGTGTTACCTTCTTCGCAGTTGTTAGTCAAATCAAAGTAATTATTGAATATTTTAGACAATGTTTAAAAGTTTTTTTTAAATTAAAATGATACCACAGTTTACGAAACCAAAGTGAATATGCCAGCACAAGCAGTGGACTTTATGTTTCCAATGATACTAAAACTCTGTCTTAAGGTGATTTGTAAGACTTTAATATATCTTATGTAAACTTTTGATATGAAATATGTCAGATATTGTAGTCAAGAAATATGATTAGTAGTTAAGTTCAAAAACCAAAATCAAGTGTCATTTTATTAAAGAGTTAATAAGAGTGAAGTAAAAATCTCTGAAAAAAATATAAACTTTGAATAAAAAATAAATAAATGCATGATTGGTGTTAGCCTTATCAGAATATACACACCAATTTGTTTTGTAATTTGCATCATAACATTCGGATCAAATTCTATCTTCATTCACGTGTTGCTTAATAGTTGTGTTCTGTGTAATTGATCCATTCATGTTATACAACACTCGTGAATGTCTTTATGTAATTTTCATACATATGTGTGAGAGCACATACATATATTCACTTATACATGTATTTTTTTGTTTATAACATTGCTTGCAGCACACGCACAAATTACTTGGGTAGCCATCGTTGTTTTCGATAAGTTGTGTTTCAGCAAATGTGGATTGTAATGTGCTGCCATCTATAAGCCGTCAAACTCATAAGTTTATCTTTTCAGGCATCACAAAATAAATACTCCTCGGCAGAATTGAGCTAACTTAAGACATTGTGGCTAGAATTTTCATCCGACAGAATTAACATTCGTGCTTTTTACAAGGTATACGTAACAATATACATTTATGAAAACACAACTTCCTCGCTTCACATAGAGAAGTTATTTACATATGAAAGTGTACTAAAGATAGCCTAGGTTGCAACGCTATTTCAGTCATTGATTTTCTTTCACCTACTTTACTGATATGTCGACCAATGGATAAGTCTCAGCCCACTTTGTCAAGTAGACAATGGCCATGAGTATATACTGATGACCTTTCTCCATCTCTGGGAGTGGATCAGCGATATTTAGGGCTATTCTCTGCGAAGGAGAATCAACAATTTGCTGCTGGAGTTTACCTTGTTTTGGTCGATTTTTTCTCTGGATAGCACACACTGTACAATACTGATACGAGCACTGAACCTCTCGATTCAACTGCTGCCAGTTTAAAATCAATACAGAATCTGGAAATACCTTTCTTTCTCAAAATAACGACTGGAGCAGACCAAGCGCTATCTGAAGGTTCCATAATCCTTTCTTGTAACATTTGAATGTATTTTACTTGTGTCTTTATCTCTAGTACTGCAGGGAAGTCTTCACGTTGATTATTTAATTGAATATTTGTCATCCATATATTCGTAGTTTTCATTCATACTTATGTAGTTTTAGTTCACTGTTGTCTGACCCATTCATTTTCCTCGTCCCAAGAATGCATCAGAATATTCAACCAACAAATCACTATTACTGCATTGTATCCAGGTTGTTAGCACAGTCTTCATTCAACAATATCAGATGTGTTGGCAGTCATATATTTGTTTTCATATGTGATGCAACAGAAAGAAAATCTTAGAATTACTGCTTCCCCTGGTTACTTTCACTTTACTTACTATTTTTTTATAACCATTCCAATTACCCATAATTACAAAACAATGCCAGGGATTCATCCCTCCTCAAACAGATAAATGCCTAAAATAACGATACACGTGCTTTGGACAGGAAACAACTCGTTTAATGAATGAGTTCTATAACGGTATTGCACGCTACTGATGCACTAGATTGTATCCGCTGTAAACTGCATAACACAATATGTGTACGGGGAGCACTGTGACTTCTTCTCCCTCATGCATCCATATAATCCACTGTTCCTGGGCCATATCTGGTCAACATTCTATAACTCTCCTACAGATCATCAGCTGCATATTCATCATGCCACAATGACGACTCTGAGTTCGATCTTCAGGGGAATAACTTGATTGACTTATCTAGGTAATCCAGACATCAGCAACTTTTCTTCCTGATCCATCAGTTGCAATTAGATAGAAGTCCTGGCTTTTTGCAGCATTGGTGAAAGTCCTATGTCAAGAAGAGAACTTCTTCTATACCTGACAACCATCTCTCGTCAGGGATCAACTCTTCTTCTTGTTCATGAATCTTTTGAGCTGTGGAAAATGCCGTTTTCATGCAAATAAAGTTTTTAAAACTTAGATATACAAGAGATTGTGTAAGAATGATACACACGTCAGATAAAACACACACACAAACTCCACAATAATATGTTCTGATCATGGCATCAAAATTTCCTTCTACCTATCTATAATGTGATCTTTTCAGTTACAACTGATTTACTGAGTGGAAAGACAAGGTCCACTTACTGATGGGATAGTCATCAAAATATCTACTGAAAAATAATTCTATATTTTCTGACTAACTGAATTTGTAAGTAATAAGAAGAGGCTGAACACACAATCACAATAAATAATCTTTATTTGAAACAAATACCTTTCAGATGTATACTTTACATTTCACAATGGACACATACCCAGCTCCACTGGAGAGTTAGCTCTGAAGAAACCCTATATCAGTTCTATACAAGTTTAATTCTGCTGGTATCCTGTTCTAGACTGGATTGGCTGAGATCGTGTTCCAGACTTAATAAATCTCAGCTTGGATAATAAAATAATCAACATTATATACTTACCTAACACGACTAGTACTGCTCATGTGACTGGTCATTCCCAATGAAATATGGAAGAGGTCACCTGACTGCTAGTAAAACATATACTGTCTAACTTCACATACTATGAGTGACTTTTCAGATATTTTCCCCACGGGAAGAAAAAAGGTGCTATTCTAGTTGAATGACACAAAACAATAGATAGCTAGAGAGAAAGAAACTTTAAGGCCTTCTTGACCAGTGTGTTATATGAATACCAGATATATTTACAAAAAAAAAAATTCGAGAGTTTCTTGTATTAAATCAAGGAAGTAAAAAAAACTCGTAGCATGCTTATATACTACAAATTTCTTTACGTTTTTGTGTATGTATGTTGCATTTAGTTAGTGATGTCCTTGTAAACCATGTGTACACAGAATTTACTTGCACTATTTTTTTTATATTGACAAGTTAAACCAGTACTACAACAATTATTCAATAGGACTTAAGCTTTCTTGACCCTACTCCTGTGTGATACCCTAATGGAGTGAGGTCATACACATTCATTGGGGTGATACAGATATTTATACAAGTTAATATGAGTTGGAGCTTTTCTCCCTTAAATGTGTATTATGTGAACATATGTAATCTAAGAAATTTGGGATACCGCACTATGACCTTGATCTTACTTAATAGTGTAGTATTATCATTCCACCAGCTCCTGTCTTCGTCTGGTGTAGGCGTGGTCTCCTTCAGTTCCAAGAGTTTTTTTTGTAGTTATGCACAAAGCTACACAATGGGCTATCT